TTTGGCGCTGTGTGAAATGGTTGAGTATTTGTGTTCATGCTCCATTTGGTTTACTTCCATTTGCAATGTGTTCTGATGTCCTTATCTGTAATGCCATGTCTTCATTTAATAGAGAATGATATAGTGCACTGACCATTTGTCCAAAATCTGAACACTTTTAGGCATGGGAATGAGTTTGCACCTACTGTCGGATTCTTTCTCACTACACACCCAACTGAGGTACTTCTTTCTATTGGCCTGAAGCATGTGTATTGACTGCAGAGAGGTTATTTGTACCGAGTATTCTTTATAGGATTAAAATGCATTCTATTCTTTGAGTTATTGACAGTTCATCACCTGTATGCTAAGGAAAATTGTCCTTTTTTATATATTTGGGATAAACGGTTGAATTGATCAATAAATCCACTAGATTATGACTCGTGTTTCTTTTATTATGTTTCGGCAGGAGGTATCAAACAAGATAGTGAATCATAACGTAATATGCTTTATAATTATCTTAACCTTCCATTTTTGTACTTTAATTTTCAAGCATTTCTTTTATTTTCACTTACTAAACAGAAAAGATGCATTAGCTATAGTATTGTGCAACTAGTTAATCCATTTGAAGTAATGCATAGCACATTCTTTTGTTTAGGTATATAATTATTCTGTCCTACCAATTTCCAAACTGTATTGGTTTTTCTTTTAAATCCTAAATTATAAGGCTTGTGCCTAATTTAGATGCTTGTTACCCTCTTTTTCCCTTGTTTATTTTGTTGTGTCCTAAGGATTTGTGCATAACACCCAAACATACTTTCAACTCTCAGCTTTCCGGCCAAATTAATTGAATGGGAGGGGGAATTCATGTCATTTCTCTTCTGGATCTGTCAATTTGCAAATTCTTAACCTATGTCCCTGTTCAAATTTTTCTTTTGACAGGGACAAGAGGGAGTACAAATTTTCCTTCTATAGGATGAATACAAAAATAATAACAACAATAAATGTTAATATGGAAACTGATATATAAAAATGCACTTGGAAGTGTGATGAAATAATAGAAGCTAGAAGGGAAAAAATAATCAAAGTTAAAAGTAACAAAATTCATTCCATGCTGAAGATTCAAGTGGATAAATGTTTTTTTTTGCCAGAAAAAGGTTTCAACTGAAGAACTTACATGAGCTCGTTCCAAACTCCAACAGGGTACTCGATTGCATCCTCTTCGACTATTTCTTGTCAAAGAATAGTCGACGGTAGTACATCAGTTTCTGAAACCTGTGTTTATCCTGTGTAGACTGATAAGGCATCCATGCTTGAAGAGATCATCGAATACGTCAAATTTCTTTAGCTGCAAGTGAAGGTTCGCTCACCACCACCACCATTCATCCGTTCCATGCTGTCTGGCTTACCATCCTCTCGTCTGCTGATCTGTATTGCCTGTCTATGATTGAAGGTTATCGGCATGAGCAGGCTGTGCACGACGGAAGCCGTCGTCCCGCTCCTGACGGAGTCCCGGACCGAGGTAAATCACATCACGTGAGCCTGAATGAACTCAGAATACATTGTGCGTGCTTCTTGTGACTGGGCCGCTGCTGGCAATGCAGAGTTCCGGTGGCCTTCTCCTATCCCCGAGGTCAGGCTCAGGCTCAGGCAGGCAGCGGGTAGGCGGAGGCAGCCTGTCGTCGTCTATTTTTGACATAAGTGTTGACTCCATTCATGATGAACTACTGATTTGTATATTATTTGAATGAAACCTTGTTGGTCATGCACAGAAAGTACTGCATGGAAAATATATATTTTAATATGTTGTTGCTACTATTTTAAAATAAATTTTTTTGTGTGTTTAACTCTTTTTTCCTATGAGGTTGGCTACAAAGAAATATTTTTTTAATCTGGGCGAAATGAATTTTTCTGTGAGTTCACTTAGACCGACAGAAAAAACATGTGTTTTTCTGTACGTTTATTTCTTTTTTCCTATGTGGATTAACACACAGAAAAATTAGTTTTAATCTAGGCGAACATAATTTTTCTATGCGTGTGAGACCCACAGAAAAATTGTTTCTGACGGTGAACCATTCATTTTTCTATCATTCTATTTCTGTGTGTTATTTTCTGACGGTACACTGTCAGAAAAATATTTTTCCATGGGTATTCGAATTTTTCCCTGGGTTTTTGCACACACAGAAATATTCTTCCAGTAGTGATTGGCGAAGGCCTGTCATTCAATGAGGCAGAGGAAGCATGGGTACCAGAGGAAGGAAAGAGAATGCGTTAAAAAATAGAGCGGCGCAAGCGCTCAAAAAAAAGAAATGGCCTTGGCGCATGAGAGAAGAACGACGAAAAAAAGACGGTGGCTGCCCAAGGGGATGGCATTAGCGCCAGAAAGTGGGACTGATTTAACCGCCTCAGCATAGGACTTGTGAGCAGGACGATTGGAAACCGAGGACCAAGAGTTAGCTTCTTCCTCTAGGAAACGTTGGAACTCAAGGCGCTAGTTCGGACCACCATTACCTCAAAGAAAGAAGAAGACTTTGTAAGCATCACAAGTGAAGGACCGAAGGCGAGCCACAAAAAAACCGACCTCTTGGGAAGAAACATGGAACTTGAAAGTTTGATCACCAAGCCTGGCCACATTGAAGTGTGCAGCAACGCATCCAATGGTGGCTTGAAGGATGAGGCCCACAGACTCAGAAGGAAGCCGGAATTTGCAGCGGCCAAAAGCAGCAACAAGAATGAAGGAGGAACGAACTAGGGAAACACGGGAAATAGGAAGACCCAGTTCAAGACGCAATTCATCTTGGAGCTTAAGCCCCGGGGTGAAGGAGAGGCCTGGGAGCTCCATACGGCAAAAGCAGAAGAAGAAAAAACGGTGAGCAAGTATGAGAACACACCTTTTGGGACAATCAAGAACAGCCTCAGTGCAGAGGCGGGTGAGCAAGGGCCATCAGCATTTCCAGCACAACGAGCTTCATGAATGGCGCCGCTGCAATGTTTTCAGGACGGCTGGTCGAGCCTGGACGCCTAAGGACCGTCCAGGACGATTAGTCGTCATCCAGGACGATTAATCGACCCTGGACGAGTCCCCTGGTCGTCCCCTACATATGGGGACTGATATATACCATATATATATATTATATAGTTATATATACAGTATAAAATATATATCATATATATATATATACACACACACTAGTATACTACATGTTCTAGGCTGTACTGCTCTAGATAGATAGGTCAGCTGGCCACTTACCTGGCTGCTGCAGAGCCCTTTCTTGTCTCGTTGGCTGCTGCTGCCAAACTAAAATTATAGAAAAATAAAGCACATTAACAAAGGCAATTAGGTGAAAGGCAATGAAGTGATCAACAAAGTAAATTAACACAATAAAGCACATAATTTAAATCAGTCCAGAACTGCATAGTGCATAGTGGCACACTGCCACTGCCATAGTGCATACTGCATAGTGCATACATCAAGTCCAGTACATAAATAGGCAAAATGGCCAATGATAAGAACTACTCAAGTAAATCAGCATCTACACGAAAGCCTCCTCCATCTCCACGGGTGTCTAGATAGGCCCAACTCTGAGATGCAGCCCACTCTCTGGCTGGACGCCCACACAGCCGACTAATCGGACGTCCAATTTCCTGGACGGTCTGGCTAAGTCGGAGGCCCTGGTCGAGTAGCTCCAACCGTCCAGGACGATTAGTCGCGATTAATCGGACGTCTTGAAAACATTGCGCCGCTGCCAAGCGGCCTGCAGCAGGGGCAGAAGACCGTGGTGAGGCAGCGCCGCATTCAACTCCCGCCTCCGCCGTCGTTGTGTCACCACACGGTGAATGAGCAGCGCGAGCAGACTCCACAGACAACAGCTTTGAACTAGGGCCAGCAGTCGAACACCTTGCGGGCAATCAACTCCGGCGAAGCTGCACCGGGTCAAGACCTAGGGCCAACAACCCCAAAGAAGAAGGAGCTCACCATGACGAGGGGTGGGGGGCAGTAGCAGTCTGGCGACACGTGCTCGCTTCCCGCTTGAGCGAGTTCAGCTCAGGTAAAAAAAATTATTTACTATCGTTTGGAAACCCAAATATTCAATTTAGGTTCTCTGATTTGAAATTCAAAATTTTAGATTTTCCGAACGACCTTGTATATTGACATTTCATATACAAGGACCCCCTAGGGATAAGTAGGCTTGGGTTGCCCAGGCTTAGCTAGCTAGGCAGGCCAGAGACGAAACACGAACCAAATACATACTATGGCCCCGTTCGCTGGTCTGAAACTTGACTGAAACTGGCTGGTTTTGTGAGAGAGAAACACTGTAACGGCTGGTTGATAAACAGTGGCTTCTGAGAGGGATGAGCCGGCTGGTCTGGTTTTACCAGACTAGCGAACGGCGCCTATGTGTTTAGCGAGGAAATTAATAGGGCAACACACTGGTTTATTCTTTCCTGGAATAACTAGAAATCTTGACCAGATGGAACTAAAATGTATCCACAGTAGGCAAATTCACAGTCTACACATTGTTGATAGAACTTATACATAATTCGGTGTATATTACCCATACGGTGTTAAGATAAAAATGTGTCGTACTACAAAGTTGTAAAAAGCATTCAGGTGTACGTGATAACACCGATCCCCTTCTCTTTTTCGTCCTACCCTCACGTAGGATGGACGTCAGTCCGGGGTGTCAACGGAAACTCAGCAACGGCTAAGCCCAGCGCCCAGGCTGTTCGGATCACCAACGACCAGTGCGGACTCGGCGCTACTCCGTGCGCACTCGCCGCGCTCACTGCGTCCACGCGAGCCCGGTCTCCGCGGCGCCCACGCTCCCGCTCTGCGCGCTCGCCCGCTCTCGCTGTAACTGTATGCGCATGTACAGACTTGGCCAAAAGGCCTCTGATGTAATCTATATATGTACACGCCATATGATCAATAGAATTGTCCAGTTGATCATCTCTCTACATGGTATCATTGTCCACGGTTCTCACCTGAAAATCCCTTCGCCACACATCCTTCTGCTGCTCCAATGGCGCCCGCTTCCATCCACTCCAGCCTCTCTGATTCCGATTCCGATGGTGACTTCTCCGTCGCTCCTGCTCGTGCTTCCGCCATCCAGGGCATCTCCATTCACCATCACGTCCCTGTCATTCGAGACATGGACGAAGGAAATTATGGTCAATGGCGCCTGTTCTTTGAATCCACTCTCGGCAAATTTGGCCTGGAGAGCCACGTTCAATCCACCACCCCGTCCGACGATCGCAACAGCGAGTGGCGCAGGGTTGATTCATGCGTCGTCAACTAGATCCTCGCCACCGTCTCGAAGGGCGTCTTCGACATCGTCCGCCGCGACCGCCACGACGCCTTCACTCTGTGGCACGCCGTCGAAGGTCTGTTCCAGGATAATGAGCTGCAGCGCGCTGTGTACCTAAAGACTGAGCTGCGCTCCCTGCAACAAGGTGACATGTCCATGACTGAATACTACACCAAGCTCAAGCGGATTGCCGATCAACTCCGCGACATCGGCCACCATGTCTCCGAGCCGAGTCAAGTCCTGAACCTCCTCCGCGGCCTCAACCCCCGGTACCGCTACGTCCGGCCGACGATCACCTCCAAGCACCCGCCGCATACCTTCCAGAGTGCTCGCTCCTTCCTCATCCTCGAAGAGCTCAACGGAAACTCAGCAACGGCTAAGCCCAGCGCCCAGGCTGTTCGGATCACCAACGACCAGTGCGGACTCGGCGCTACTCCGTGCGCACTCGCCGCGCTCACTGCGTCCACGCGAGCCCGGTCTCCGCGGCGCCCACGCTCCCGCTCTGCGCGTTCGCCCGCTCTCGCTGTAACTGTATGCGCATGTACAGACTTGGCCAAAAGGCCTCTGATGTAATCTATATATGTACACGCCATATGATCAATAGAATTGTCCAGTTGATCATCTCTCTACACGGGGGTCGCCAAAGAAGCAATGATACAACGGCAACAAGTGCACTTAGCTCTCCGTCAGAATCAAGAGAATGCACTCGCCACTCGACTGAGCTGCAAGAAATGGGGCAAATAAGGAGTCAGGAAAGAGATCGAGCTTCCTCGGCGTCGGCAGTAGGCTCTTAGTAGTAGAAATTCTGGTTTGTGGTGAAGGTCTGGCCGAACTGCCACCACCCAGGCACCACATTCCAGAACTGAATGTACTGCCCACCGGTGCTGGTAACGGCGAAGCTGAGGCCCTGGCCGACGAGCCCAGCGAGCACCTGCCAGTTAGCGCCCCAGTTCCTGGACATCTGGATCCACCCCGTCTTGTCGCCCTTCACCCAGGCGGCGCCCACGGAGCCACTGCCTCCGAGGTTCTGAATGTTGACGAGCAGAAAATACTGGGAGCCGGCGATACTGAAGCGCACGCCGCCGGTGCGCGAGCACTTGACCTGCTGGTACTGGACAGCGATGATGCCGCCCTGGACGACGCCGATGTGCTCCCACGCCGGCTGGGACATGTCGAAGTGCGGGCGGCCCGGGCCGCACCAGCCGCCGTTGGGCAGTGCGTAGTTGGACGGGCACAGGTTGGTGGCGGAGACAGTGATGGAGTTGCCGGGCTTGCACCACTGGCCACCCAGACGTGTTGGGTCGCAGGTGATGAGGTAGCACTGCCCGCACGACGCGCCGTCATTGAACAGGGTCGGGCTCAGCGCCGCGGTGTTGACACCGTACCCCGCGTTGTACAGGTTGTCGTACCCGCATGCGCCACCTGTGTATCATATCATAAATATGCATGCATTAGCGACGAAGTGATTCTTTGGTATATATACGTACACAAATGTATTACCATCTATACAATAGTTCTTGACCTCCTGTGCAGAAATGAATGCATGCATTCTTACCCATCGTGCCGGACGCGTCGATTCCGCCGTAGAAAGTGGCAGTGCCTTGAGACCAGTCAGCAGCGGCGACGGCGAGGCACGCCGCAACAACCACCGTGCACAGCATAGAGGAATTAGCCATTTCGTCGTTCGAAATGGAGAGCTGGCTGCAGATAGAGAACAAGATTGACGATCGAGGTGTGCGTTCCTAAGCAGGGATCGATGAGGATCAGGATGTTTGAGGCCGGTTTGATGCATGGCACTGGGATATCACTGCTTAAATAGAGGAGGTGTTGAGGCTAACCGAAAGAGTTATAAATCACACGATATAGAGGTGGAGGTTTAGGGGAATGATGGTCGATCTAGCCTTGTGTCACAAGCAGCTATAAGTTTGAACACACGAGAAAAACAATCCGTGTCTTCATTGGAAGCTAGCACAATAAGCGATCGATATGCATCACGGACGTACGGGGACGGCCAAAAACTAGCAGCAGGCAGGACCTAGACTACTGATATTGACGTGCAGGGAAGTAATCATGCATGGATGCTGGCCTGAATCAGCTGTTTAATTTGATATGTTGATTAGTCTGATCGAGTTAGCTGCCTCCGTCTCCGTCAAGAAAATTCGCACGGCAATGGACCATCAACTAACCCAAAAAGTTCCTTCCATATTATTGTTGACATACGGAAACCCTTGTTCGGTGTGCATGTGCTGTGGTTGAAGATCGAGCAACGGCGGATCACAAGCGAGAATTTGCATTGGTTGGTTCAATTTCATTCACACATTCACTACCGGAAACGTCAAATTTGCCTAGTGTTTTTATGTTTGCCGAGCGTATTCCCTCGGACACTCGGCGAACAAGTTCTTTGCCGAGTGCTGCGTTAAAAACACTCAGAAAAAAAAACACTCGGCAAAGAGGGGGTTTGCCGAGTGTCAAAAAAAACACTCGGCAAATAGGGTGTTTGCCCAATGTTTTCTTTTTTGCAATCGGCAAAGAAATAAAAAAAATTCTGAAAAAGAATGAGAAGAAAAAAATGAAAAAAAAAACCTTTGTCGAGTGCCTAGATCTAGGACACTCGGGAAAGGACAAAATCCTACTTAATTAACTGGCCCCGGCGCTCCTCCCAAGCACCCCGCCCTTCTTCTTCCCCAGCGCTCCTCCCCTCCCGGCCCCAGCGCCCCTCCTCTCCCTTCTTCTTCCCTGGTAGGCGCCCGCCCTCCCCCCCTTCTTACCTAGCGCCCCTCCTCCCGGCCCCAACACCCTCCTCTCCCTACCACCACCACTGGCCGCCGCCCCCCCCCCCCCCCCCTTTCTTCTTCCCGGTGGGCGTCCCTCCCTCCTTCTTCCCCACGGTGCCCCTCCCTCCCTCCCTTCTTCTTCAACCGGCCAGATTCGGCCCTCCCTCTCCCGGATCCGGCCGGTGGCGGCCGGATCTGGCGGCGGGCCCTCCCCTCCCCTTCTTCTTCTCCCGGTCGGATCCGGCCCTCCCTCTCTTGGATCTGGCCGGTGGCGGTCGGATCAGGCGGCGGGCGTGGTGTGGTGGTGGTGGTGGTGGTGGTGGTGGTGGTGGCGGCGGCGGCGGTGGCGGGGCGTGGTGGTGGCGGCGGCGGCTTTGGTGGTGGTGGCCGGCGGCTGTGGTGGCGGCGGCGACAGCGTGGTGGTGTTGCCGGCGACTTGTTTTTTTTAAATTTTTTCCAAAAAATATTTGCCAAGTGTTTTTTTGGCACTCGGCATAGTCTTTGGCGAGTGCCCGACGATTGACAGTCGGCAAACAGCTCTTTGCCGTTAAAACCTACGCCGAGTGTCGTTTGCTGAGTGTTTTTGGGGCTGGCACTCGGCAAACCTCCTGTATCCCGTAGTGATTCGTCAAACTAGACTAGCCTGAATAATTATTAAAATCATCCTAGCTATATATACTGTGAAAAATGTCAAGCACTACCACATTTTGCACCCTAACTTCTGATAAAGACACCTACAATCTCAAATACAAGACAACATCCTACATCTCGCCTGACTAGTGAGGTCTAAAAGAACATCATACCAGTCAAATATTTCAGTTTAATTCGATTCTTTTAGTCAAGTCTAGAGTTCAAGCATGCCTATAAGTTTTTGTTTTCATTATAAAAGTCCTACTACCACCTAGTCGATTGGGTTCCATATGCTTTTTACATTATTTTCTCCATGTATTCAGCCCACTATTCGAAGTGGGCCATTGACATGGGCTTGGTTGTCTCCAATGTGGCCCATTTGGCAATGGCTACGCATGAAGAAAAAGAAAGAATAATAAAACTACACCTCGGGCGCTCGAGCCTAGGACCTATCGATAGGAGGGTGGTACTATATCACTGAGCTATGAAGCTATTTCTACATTATTGTTGCAGCTGGGACTTCGAATGGAGTGTGCATTGGATACGTGCTATGGTGACCACACTAGAGAGAAGTCTGCTGCCCTACCACGTCAGCTAGCCGATAAGCCATTGGAACAACGTTATCAAGTGGTTTCTATAGTGATACCATCGGATAAATCCAGTGCATATTGGGTATAGGGGATTGGGACCTCCTTGTTGCACCTCATAACTTCGGTGCATTCTCTAGTGCTTGCACTAGAGAGCCTATGCTCTTTAGCTCTCCATTGTGGTCCAGCACTACCTCTAGATTGTAACTCCAGTGCACTTCTCTAGTGACCATACTGGAAGTATACATCTGGGCCTTTCTTCACTACCTTTGATTATTCCCACCGTGAATCTCCAGCGAGCACTAGCAAGAGTTTCGTTGCCTTTGTCTAGTGCTTTATCATGTGCCCATCTGAGTTGAAATCTTTGCCTCCTTTTGTCCTGGCTTCACTTATATGATGTCTTGAGCTTCTTACATGCCTAGGATCTTCAATGCTTATCTTTGATCTTCATTGGAGTTGTTGATTCCTCAATCTCCATGGTAGCCTTGCTCAAGTCCATCTCTTGCATCCAGAAGACTAAGGGGGTGTTTGGGTCAGGAGGCTAATAATTAGCCCATTTTTTCATACAAATTAGAAAGGATAAGTGTGGGCTAATTTTGGGCTAATAAGAGCTAATAGTGGTTAATTGGTGGTTAGAGTCCATTAGCCCTATTATTAGCCCATAATTAGCTCATGTTTAATTCATTTTTACAAGATGGGATAATTTGTAGCCCTAGGATCCAAACAAACCCTAAGTACCGTACCTTGTATACTAGCCAACATTGTTAGTCCTAATAGTTATATATGTTGTCAATCAACCATTACCAGGGTCCAAGTTTCTTACACATGTATAACAAAATCACCATAACACATGTTACTACACCATGTTGATATACATAAAATCCTATCACTATGTTGCCACAGCTTGTTCATTTTCTTGAAGCCCTTTTATTGGAAAAGATGAGGAGTTATGCAAAAAGAAAATTACCCATGTTTTGCATGTGACTTGACACACTCTGCTTGTATGATGTTTTTTCTAGATGTTAACATGGAAGGAGCTTCCCTACTAGATACACCCTTGTGGGTATATATGTTAAAAGAGACATATGCGTGCTACATCAAAGGTTCATCACCACTTAAGACAAATACTTGAATTCATATATTACACATTTGTTCATGGTTTTGGTTCTGAACTACTAATATAAACTGTCTTCTTGGGTTGGAATTGACATAATCAGTAATTTTAATATCTTTGTAGAATTGTAGTGGAATAAGTTATTAGTAATACTAAACTCTAAAATTGCAAAGCAAATTGTCACAAAGATTTTCACATACAACAATGACACTTAAGAGAATACTGATCTAATCTTTATTAAAAATATGTGAATGTAGTGTGATGTGTCTTATGAGCAAAAGTAACAAAAAAGTTGATTAATTGAGATGGATCCCTAGTTTTTGTCTTGTAGCTAGATGTTAATTGAATCAATATCTCCAAAATCTATAAAGCAGCCCTTCTAATGTATTTGCAAAATTAGACCACTGCACTTTAATCTTACCTCTCTTTTTCAAGGCATGAAAAGCACAACTGTGTATTACGCGCTATGGAAGACTGTCTGCTATACCTACCTTGATCTATCTTGAGCTACTATATATGTGGAAAAATAATAATATAAGCACATGGTCTTATCGGTTAAAATAACTTGGGAAATGAAGCACAAAATTGGTTCCGCGTCAGCTAAATCAACAACCTACAGCACCGGAAGAGAACTCCAACAAGTATTCTACGTACGGCTATTAATGATGTTCTTAGGTACGACCATTTTCTGAAGCGCTAACTCCCAATTGCCTTCATGATGGGATGGAATTCAATCAAATGATCACAAAAGCACATGATCGTAGCAAAACATCATCCAAGCATGGTCTTGCACATTTCAATGATTGATTCAACAACCCATATATTCTTCTGGTTCTATTCATCCAAGATGATGAAGCAACGCCCCTAACTAACTAACTCATCATCTGGGTCTATCTAAGCTAGCTTAGCTGAATTTGTCAATAGCGGTAGATTACATAGACAAGTATGAGTCAACCCAAATAAATTACTATTTCTCATAGAGTACTGGAACATTCATTACTAGGTCATGACCTGCATGGACTCGAAACCCTAAATTGTTTATTTACCGGATAGATTAAGAAGCAACTCCAATGGGCAAAACTCGCTAGATAACAATAATTAGCTCCTGCAAGTTACTCCCGTTCAGAATGACAAATTAATATACCTTTGATCAGGTAGAAGTCAAGTTTTGTACAGTTGGATCAACAATTAATCAAATTATATATGAGTTTAGGACTTAAAACTTGTATCGGTAGATTTGTGTTCGTAGTGCCTTTAAGATAACATCAATTTTTTTAGCAATATAGACATATATTGTAAGATAAATGATGGGTCACAATCTATTTTGTTTGATCAAAATGAGCTTATCTTTTCTGAACGGATGGAGTAACGGCTCGGCGTGGACTGATGGGTTAAGGTAGTTACAACTTACAACATGATGCATGTATCGGTGACGGTGACACATCTCCTCGGTAGCCACCAACGAAACAAATTGATGTTCCAGAGCGGTTGCGATGTTGATCAGAGTTTCAACGAACTAATGTGGAACGAATTCGGGTTAGTTGATAGTTCGTTGCTAACCTATATATTATATAGGCTAATCATTAGCATATGAAAACGCAGATAAATTAAATTAAAGCAATTGTCCACGATTAATTCCATCTCCAAAGTCAGGCCTTGGAGCTTAGCTAGTATCGTCGTGCAGAGCGTCTGCAACTGCATGCATGTGCTTTTGCTTCGATGGAACACGGCCGAATTTCCTCTGTTCTGACTATGTACTCTGACGCGCGCAAGGCACGACCATCATTCCCTAATGGATCGATATCCCCATGGCCCCACCGTACCTATCGTGTGAGTTGTCGCTCTCTTTCCTCCGGTTTGCCCCTTCACAGCTAGCTAGATCATCCACTATTTAAGCACTGGCCTGCGCCAACTCCATGCATCCCATCTCATCGCATAAGTCCAGAACACGTACGGTTGATCCCTCCATTGCCAATCCACCTCGATCGTAGTCGTGAAAATGAAGAGGCCCCTGATTTTGTGCGTAGCCTTCTCAGCGTGCCTAGCGCTCGCCGCCGCGGGCTGGTCTTCCGGCACCGCCACGTTCTACGGCGGACCCGACGGCTCCGGCACCATGGGTAAGCAAGCTCTTAATAATTATACATTGCATCCATTTTGCCGCAAGAGCTACGCACATTTTGCTAACCGCGCGCATGCACGTACCAATGCAGGTGGCGCGTGCGGGTACGACAACCTGTACAACGCCGGGTACGGCGTCAACAACGCGGCGCTGAGCTCAACGCTGTTCAACGACGGCGCGTCGTGCGGGCAGTGCTACCTCATCACCTGCGACACGTCACGTCCGGGCGGTAAGTCCTGCAAGCCCGGCAACTCCATCACGGTCTCCGCCACCAACCTGTGCCCGGCCAACTACGCGCTGCCCAACGGCGGGTGGTGCGGCCCAGGGCGCCCCACTTCGATATGTCGCAGCCGGCATGGGAGAATATCGGCGTCTACAGTGCCGGCGTCATCCCGGTCCTGTACCAGCAGGTCCAGTGCTCGCGCACCGGCGGCGTGCGCTTCAGCATCGCCGGCTCCCAATATTTTCTGCTCGTCAACATCCAGAACCTCGCGGGCAGTGGTTCCGTGGGCGCCGCCTGGGTGAAGGGCGACAAGACGGGGTGGATCCAGATGTCCAGGAACTGGGGCGCCAACTGGCAGGCGCTCGCTGGGCTCGTCGGCCAGGGGCTCAGCTTCGCCGTTACCAGTACCGGCGGGCAGTACATTCAGTTCTGGAATGTGGTGCCTGCTGGGTGGTGGCAGTTCGGACAGACCTACACCACAACACAGAATTTCTACTACTAAAACCTGCAAGCAGCAGAGTGCTTGGATCTTCCCATCGCCATTTCTTACGGTTCGGTCAAATGGCAAGGGTGGGAGGTCTTTTTTTTTTCGACACGTATTTTATTAAAAAGAAGTAGAAAGGTGGGAGGTCCTCAAGGCCTGCACTTAATTTCTTTCAACGTTGTAGATATATACTTACTACACACTATACATGTATATGATTTCCGAGAACGTGCACTCCACATGTTTCGTTCAGAATCCTACTGGCTAATAACTACGGTTAGTTTCGGCACTTGCCTTGCGCAGTTAAAGGAACCATGCAAGTGGGCCGGTCTGCAGACACCTGCAAGCCGCCGCACCTTGCCGCAAACGCAATTTGCAGGCATTGCGGGTGTCCGCTTGCTGCACTAGGCCTAGTGGCCAAACCTGCACGGCCTAGCAGGATCCGCAGGGGTTTTTTTGTGCAATGAAGATCAATGTTTCAGGTTCATTACAGTCTCAAATAGAAACCATCCAGACAAAAAGTTGAGGTCCATAGTTACCGTGGTCATGAGAGCCTGAATGAGCAGCTCCACTCCGCGGGCTGCGTGCCGGTGACCTCCGCGGGCTCCGTGACGGTGACCTCTGCAGGCCAAGTGACGGTGACCTTGGCCGCACAACCAATGGAGACACTAGTAGTCTCATCATTGGGGACCTCGTCACCACAGGAGAGTTCAGCTTCCTTGCCATTGGAGGCTTGAACCGCTTGGTTGCCTAAGGCTTCTGTGATTTACCACTGGGCCTTTTGCGCTTTGTTCCGGAAGAGGCGATCAAAGGGGAGGTCGCCGATGAGCACCCAGCTTCGTGTAGTTGAGACTGTGACGGAACATTTGACATGCTGGGCTGCAGTACAGGAGGGGAAAAAAATTAATATACACTGAACATAGTAATTTTACCAAAGTTAAAAGAAATTCAGAGAAACATGTTGAGTAACTGAACCAGCTGCTTCTTATTCAGAGAAACATGCAGAGAGATGCTGCATTTCTTATTCATTCAGTGTATAAGAAACCGTAATCATATCATTTATAAATATAAGCAAGGATTGTCCTTAATTGGTGAATCATTTCTGTTACATAGTAGACTGCAGGCTGAGTAGTGGGAGTAGGCTATAGTATACACTACGCGAATAAATTAAATAGCCCTTCCCCTTCGCCTTGGCGACGGGAGCCTCGGCGGCCGGAGCGGCATCGGCGCCACGGCGGGCACCTCGGCCATGGAGCCGGCCAGCCGGGTGGAGCGGCCGTTGAAGAGCGCTGTTGCGCACGGCGTTGAGCTGTCGGGGGAGCGCTGTTGCGTGCGGCGTTGAGCAGCCGCGTGACCTAGCGGAGGTGGCGGCGACGGAGACGAGTCGCACGCGGCACGCGAAGGAAGTCGCAGGAGTTTGCGGGTCCTGAGAGCGTCCCGCATTTGCTAGCAGGCTGGACCGCCTCAGCCAGTGGGCCTGTTTTGCGCCGCTTGCATCCTGAATATCTGGTATCTCTCGGCAGAACTCGATCTCATGGCACAAGGAAGTCCAAAGGGACGTGACAGATGCACATGACAGGCAGTTATGGAACCCGACCACTGGCATCGTCAACCACCACAGACGACACCCGCGCCGCTGACCCCTGAAAGAAAGCGTTACATTACATCAACTTGGAGCCAATGCAAGTCCACGCCGGCTGCATTGGAGCCATAGACTGTGCCAAGTGGAAAACAGAAACACATATACTATCTTATGAAGTTAATCTATAACATGGTAATTAAAGCTCGTGGTTGGTTCAGCACTCACCTATAGCTAAACTATAACACACCATAATGAGATAACTCATACACCTTTGTTCTAAAAATCTTTCTTTCAGACCAAAGGTAGTCATATGGCACCTATTTTTGAATTCACTTGAAGTAAAAAAAAAAATAGGCTTAAATACTAATATCCTCTTGATGTTAATTAAGATCATTTGGCCCTAGGGGCGAAGCTGTATTGTGATTAGGGGGTGCAAATGCGCCCCACAAATTGAAAATCAGTTATAATTACTAAAATTCCACCATATATATACCCTCCATAACACAAGTCTATCAGCCTGTTCGCTTGCTCGTAAACGATCGTAAATTTTCAGCCGGAAATAGTGTTTTTCTCTCACACCAAACCAGCCAGCAGTAAATAATCCACGATACGATACGGCATCCCGAACAGGATTTATGTACCCACACAAGGCAAGCACACCCACTTCAATCTCCTCTAGCTTCACCACTGTTGGGATCCTCTTAGATCTCACTTTAAGCACCTTGCCAATCTTGAGTCCCGTGGTGTGTGGGCTTAAATGATGGTTTATGGCATCATAGATATTAATTAAGACACCCAAAATCCTTATTTTATTTAATAAAATACAAAAGGAAATTGAATAAAAGTTATAACAAGTACAAGACCTTCAACTTAATGTGTATAAAAATTGATGCAGCTAACAATATTTAAGTTTTAAAGTAAAAAAAAAACTTAGATTGATAGCATCATAAGATATGTGGTATAACAAATTAAGCCACCACAACTTAAACTTGGGTTCAAACAAAATGGGTTCGAACAAAATGGATAATGAAGACACACATGAAGTGCCATGTAGAACCACAAAAACTATAGATATGGATGAAAAACATATAAAATAATTGATAAGTTTATCAATCAGTAGAAATTATAGAGTATATATAAGTATATAAGTGTGTTAAATTAAAAATGGTAAACAAAAAAATAAAGAAAAAGCAAATAGATAAGAAATTTTGATTAGTTATAGGTCGTACTAAGGAAAAAAAATATACTTATATATGTCTCTCTTGAGATCTAGCACATGTAGGCGCAAAGATTGATGGACTAGTTAATCTAACTACAGCAGCCAGGAGCTAGAACAACGAAATGCAAGCATCAGAACCAATCATTAGCTCGAGCACGTCAAAGTCTGGTAGTTATGGGCATGTGCTGATGCACATAAAGTCCTGAATACAGGCATCCATGACACTTTCCATCCGCATGCAGCATATATAAAGAGTTAATTTAATTTAACAATTCAATTAAAAAATTTACAAAACATCTAACGCCCCAAGGTATCATTCGAAGAAAGAACCTTATCCTTCAACTATAACCGAGAAACGACACTCTGAAATCTGTGCAGATAACCTGTATTATTTTATGGGTTGCCGCCAGTGATACATGGATGACTTTTAGTTAACCAACCTTAAAATCCATTCCCAAAGTCAAATCCAGATCCTAGAGGTATTCATGAGTTACAGTTACTAGGCTATGAAACCTTCCGCCAACAAAAGCACGATCTTTCCGTTTGCACATTGTTGAAGAACCTAAGAATCCTGGCTCTCTGCCAACTGAGCCTAGATTTTACACGTCTCTAACAGTATGTCATTTTGGCTTTTTTTATAAACATAATTTTTACTATGCATTTAAACTGCTACGGAGCTTCCTGATCAGGTATCCTTTGAATAAATTTCATCAGCCTTCGCTCTGCGGCTATCACCCATGAAGGAGGCAATGCGTGCGCTCTTCCCAGGTACGTAGTGCGGGAAAGGTACGGCTGCGACTGTCACGTAGGTCGGGGGTTGGCTGCCTTAGTCGCTCAATTCTACGGCCGTATATTACAACGTTAATGATTTTGCTTGCTTAGTGTTCCGGTCTCACTGTTGACTCGCTAGCAAGAATGGAAACATTGTTGTAACCTTTAAACTTCATGTCTGCTTAATGAAACACGGGCTCAGACCCAATCATGAAAAAAAAAGGAAAAATCAAAACGATTTATAGTTTGGGAAGGAAGGAATACTTATAGTTTCAGAAAGTACACACGCTGTTAAATTTGAAGCCACATTATATTGTTCCTTCAATCATACAAAGACACATGCTTGATCTTTCATTCCACCATGAGACTGAGATACACGGCGGCCCCAATCTAAGCCGGAATCCTCCATAGATGACCCCATTCATCCATCCACTAACGGTCCCAACTGAGCTGGTTCCACCCACTAAATTATGCGCCGCGCCTAGTTGCAGTATGGAAAGAATATGTTGGTTGCAAAAACAAATCAGCCCCCGCGCTCTCTGAACTCTCTGATCAACCGTTCTGACATACTGTACTACGCGCAATCAAAGTCAAAAACTAGCAGTTACCTGCACTACTGCATGTGGAGGAGCATCATCATCATGTGCTTCCAGTTCGCACCGCGCAAATGCATTACGTGTTCCATGAGATGAGAATCAAATGAGATGCACGATCGACAGAACACCAACGACATTATCGCCGCTCATCTTCCCGCTTAATTAGTTTCGACAAGTTTCTTCAGCTCCAGCTCCCTTCAATCTCCAGCAGGCCACTGCCTCCTCCTATTTAAGCACTGAACCTAGCTAGGAGATCATCCACCACAGTAGCAACTCACAACTTCCAGATCACACGACAAGACAATCTGCTCCTTTTTCTGATTATTTCGTGCTCGTACTCGTAGCAAGGTCGCAGTCATGGCGCCCAGGATGTTGGTTGTGTGGGGTGTTGTTCTGGTGGCGGCGTCCGCAGCGACCGATGTGGCGGGCTGGTCGCCCGGCACGGCGACCTTCTATGGCGGGTCCGACGGGTCCGGAACCATGGGCGGAGCGTGCGGATACGGCAACCTGTACAGCGCCGGGTACGGCGTTAACAACGCGGCGCTGAGCCAGACGCTGTTCAACGACGGCGCGTCGTGCGGGCAGTGCTACGCCATCACATGTGATGGATCTGGAGCACGCACGGGCAGCCAGTACTGCAAGCCCGGCAACACCGTCACCGTGACGGCCACCAACCTGTGCCCACCCAACTACGGCCTCCCCAACGGAGGCTGGTGCGGCCCGGGACGCCCGCACTTCGACATGTCGCAGCCGGCATGGGAGAACATCGGCGTCGTCCAGGGCGGCATCATCCCTGTCCTGTACCAGCAGGTCAAGTGCTCGCGCAGCGGCGGTGTGCGCTTCAACATCGCCGGCTCCAACTACTTCCTGCTCGTCAGCATCCAGAACCTCGGCGGCAGCGGCTCAGTGGCAGCCGCTTGGGTCAAGGGCGATAAGACGGGGTGGATCCAGATGTCTAGGAACTGGGGCGCTAATTGGCAGGCTCTGTCGGGGCTCACCGGCCAGGCGCTCAGCTTCGCCGTCACTAGCACCGGCGGGCAGTACATACAGTTCCTGAACGTGACGCCGACGTGGTGGCAGTTCGGACAGACCTACTCCACCAATCAGCAGTTTTACTACTGATCCAATCCATCGATCGGGACGAAGCTTTCTGATCTGTTTCTGTTGATCTTCATATAGTATATTGTCCACATGGCAAGTGCCGACGTGCTGTGTCGTGGTTTTGGCAGAGTTATTCAGCGCCAGACGAACCGTGGCCGTGGCATGTTTGCTGTTTATATAGCTCTCATTATCTGCATCCTACCTTTTTTTACCCATATATACTGGCATAATAATGGCATTACATTTATACGTATGTGCAAAATTGTTAACACCAGTCACTACTGGAAACAGTATATATGCCGAGTGTCTGGTGGTTTGCCGAGTGCATTCCTTCGGGCACTCGACAAACAGTATCTTTACCGAGTGGCTACAGGTAAAAACTCAGCAAAATAAATGCACTCGGCAAAAAACTTATTTACCGAGTGCAGAAAATAAAACACTCGGCAAACAACAACAAGACACTCGGTAAAGAATAGACACTCGGCAAAAGACCACCACGTGTGCCGGCCGTTAACCAAGGTGTCGGCCGTTAAAACTTTGCCGAGTGTCGGTTAGTGACACTCGGCAAAGAGAATATTTGTCGAGCGTTTTTATCTGGCACTCGGCATATGGGTTCGTTTGCCGAGTGTTTTATTTTTGCACTTGGCAAATTAAAAAGTTTTTTTCCTCCCCTGATCTTAAAACTTTTTCTACACTCCATATACAACATGTGGTACTCCATGTTAAGATTTGGTATATTTCTAAATCTGTTTGCTATATTTAATTAATTTATTGCCTTTAAAGTAAATTTTTAGTATAAGTCAAATTTGAACTGCAAGTGATTCAAATAATATAATAAAATGAGTAGAAAAATGATATTCATGTTATTGAGTCCCGTGTGAGGCCTTATTCGGGAAATGAAAGGAAATTTTGAACACGAAACCCGACCACGAACGTGTGGCCGAATGATTTTTAAATTCTTAAAAAAACAAACGAAGTCTGAAAATCATGAGATTTATCAAGATCTCATGATATCATACGTGGAGGCTGTGGTAAAAAATTAAGAAGATTTCGCACAATCTGTCACGAACGATGTTTACAAACCGAAATATCTTAGAAGAAGAATCGTAGTGTTGAGAAGGATTCGGTAAAATTTAGAGTCAAAGTGACGGTCAAATTGGGGTTTGACTTCAAAACTATTTGTATAGGCAATAGAGAACATAGATTGATTCATGTGTAATTTTGGTAAATTTTTGGATCCGTTTGATAATTTTAATTTATTAAGTGCCATTATAGAATTTTAATTGATATAAATTGAATTTGAGCTATAACTGCATGAAATAATAAGTTTTTTTCTCTTCTAACCTTGAGACTTTTGTACTCTCCACATACAATATGTGGTACTCCGTGTTAAGATTTGGTATATTTCTGGATTTGTTTGCTATATTAAATTAATTTATTGCATTTCAAGGAATTTTTTTGGTATAAGTCAAATTTGAACTGCAAGTGATTCAAATAATATAATAAAATGAGTAGAAAAATGATATTCATGTTAGGCCTTATCCGGGAAATGAAAGGAAATTTTGAACATCTTATTCACAAAACTCGACCACGAACGTGTGACCGAATGCTTTTTAAATTCTTAAAAAAACAAACAAAGTGTGAAAATTATGAGATTTGTCAAGATCTAGTGATACCATACGTGGAGGTCATGGTAAAAAAATTGAGAATGTTTCGCACAATCAGTCACGTACGATATTTATAAACCGAAGTATCTTAGAAGAAGAATCGTAGCGTTGAGAAGGATTCGGTAAGATTTGGAGTCAAAGTGACGGTCGAATTGAGGTTTGACTTCAAAACTTTTTGTATATGTAATAGAGAACATAGATTGATTCATGTGTAATTTTGGTAATTTTTTGGATCCGTTTGATAATTTTAATTTATTAAGTGCAATTATAGAATTTTAATTGATACAAATTGAATTTGAGCTATAACTACATGAAATAATAAGTTTTTTTCTCTTCTGACCTTGAAACTTTTTCTACTCTCCACATACAACATGTGGTACTCCGTGTTAAGATTTGGTATATTTCTGGATCTATTTGCTATATTAAATTAATTTATTGCATTTTAAGGAATTTTTTTGGTATAAGTCAATTTTGAACCGCAAGTGATTCAAATAATATAATAAAATGAGTAGAAAAATGATATTCATGTTATTGAGTCCAGTGTGAGGCCTTACCCAGGAAATGAAAAGAAATTTTGAACATTTTGTTCAGGAAACACGACCACGAACGTGTGACCGAATGATTTTTAAATTCTAAAAAAGCAAACGAAGTCTGAAAATCAAGAGATTTGTCAAGATCTCGTGATATCATACGTGGAGGCCATGGTAAAAAATTAAGAAGGTTTCAAACAATCTGTCACGTACGATGTTTACAAACTGAAGTACTTCAGAAGAAGAATCGTAGTGTTGAGAAGGATTCGGTAAGATTTGGAGTCAAAGTGACGGTCGAATTGGGGTTTGACTTCAAAACTTTTTGTATATGCAATAGAGAACATAGATGGATTCATGTGTAATTTTGGTAAATTTTTGGATCCGTTTGATAATTTTAATTTATTAAGTGCAATTATAGAATTTTAATTGATACAAATTGAATTTGAGCTATAACTACATGAAATACTAAGTTTTTTTTCTCTTCTGACCTTGAAACTTTTTCTACTCTCCACATACAACATGTGGTACTCCGTGTTAAGATTTGGTATATTTCTGGATCTATTTGCTATATTAAATTAATTTATTGCATTTCAAGGAATTTGAGCTATAACTGCATGAAATAATAAGTCAAATTTGAACTGCAAGTGATTCAAATAATAGAATAAAATGAGTACAAAATCAATAAGTTTGCGAACTCCGCCGAGTGTCCCTGAGATGGCACTCATCAAACTTGCCGTTTGCCGAGTGTCAGAACTGGGATACTCGGCAAACAGCTTCACGGGTCCCACAAACGCGTAGTAGTTTAGGATTTTGTAATGGAAAAAAACATAAAACGGGTTTGCCGAGTGTCCGCCATATAGCACTCGGCAAGTTTGCCAGAGTGTCAGAACTGGGACACTCGGCAAATAGCTTTACGGGCCCCACACACGCGTAGTAGTTTAGGTTTTTAAAATGAAAAAAAAACAAAACGGGGATTTGCCGAGTGCTAGATCGAGGGCTCTCGGCAAACCTCCCTCGTAACCACCCTAAGTCCCGCACCCGACCGCACACACACGCACACACTCAAACACTTTGCCGCGTTCAACCCAGACCACGCCACCGTCCCCCCGCCACCCCGCGCCTGCGTTCGCCCACACCAGCCCCGGCTCGGCGTCCCTTTCGGCACCTGCCCCACTCGCCGACGACGTAGGCTCTCACGCCCGGCGCCCGCCCCCGCGCGCCGATGTCCCGCGCCTGGCCCCCGGCATCCCGCACTCGGCACCCACCCCCATGCGCCGACGACGCAGGCTCCTGGTGCCCCGCGCTCGGCCCTCGGCGTCCGCCCCCGCTCGTCGACGATGCAGGCTCCGGCGCCCTGCCTCCCACGCAGTACCTAGGTAATTCCTTGGTCGTCTCTTTCATGTTCCCTTTGTCTGATTTAGTGGTTTCACAGTTTGGTTCGCAGGTGTTTGGCAGTGAAATTTCTATCAGTTTGTAGTACTTGGTTGCTTCAAATAGATAAGTTTCTAAGGGATAGTGCAATGTATAACTGAATTTTTTTCTGCACAGAATACCTAAAGAGCTAAAATCCGTTATGTTAGCAGATTGGAGATAAGTAACAGTGACTGTTCTCTAGCTTATCAGTTTTTTTCAAGAATACTTGACTGCACACTGCAGATGTTCAGCAGAGTCAAATTAGGAAGTGTGCTTGCATGCTTGTATTAGGTGTTTGCATCAGTTGATATTCAAGGGAAATAAACCTTGCTTATGGCTGCAGTATATGTTATGTTTTAGTAATAACGCAATTTGATATCACAAAAGGGCAACTACACTACACTTATCAAGTAGTCAAATTTGGCAATCGACGTCTCAGTGACATACTTTGGACATGTGTTCATTTCCTCCCTTTAGTTTCCAGTCATTGATTCCCACCTCTTTTTGTTCTGTAGTCGATTTCGATTGGCACTAGAAAAACCGGCGCGGCTCCGAGCGCTGTTAGGAGCCTACCACTGTATCTGTGGGTGACTACATTGTGTTAGGTAGTTGTACAATTGTATTTGTATCCAAGCAATGCTACTCAGATTAGCTAGTCGTGTTAGTGTCTAATTGTGGTAGAAAATATGACATGATGCCCCCCCTAAGTGTGAGTGGCTAGAGTAGTGTTTTTTATAGTATCACTGGAGTATTATTTTGGGAAGCTAATTTTTACATCGTATAAGGTTATCTGTACAGCTGTTAGGTAGCTCAGCTCCTCTTCTAAGGTCCTTTGTAGAGTCATGAGATATCCTGTGGTTCTTGTGGCATCTACACATTTGATATTAAAGCCTGCTTTTTATTATTATTTAGACTAAGTCAATATAACAATATGTATGTTGAAGACAAGGTAACTAGTAGTATAATAATAAATACTTATACCTGCCAGTTGCTTGGCTTTCTGATACTGTTAGTCAGTGAGAGCTTGCAGGCTCTCGTTTTATTGATTGCCTCTTCAATCCATGTAGCTAAAGCTACAGCTTTCTTAGACACAAGGCTTGTAACTCTACCTGCAATTGGATGTTCATGAAAATGCAGTGAGGCAGTGAGTAGACTGTTATTACACCTTCGACTTGTCGTGGTTTTGCAAGGTATAAGGTGTGTATGTGGTTGTCGGACATCGTGCCGTTGGTTTGGTGTGTATGTGGTTGTCGGCCATCGTGCCGTTGGTTTGTCCTAGGTTTTGGTTACCTCACCGTGTAGGGGAGGTGATGCCGAAATTTACAATTGACACTATTATGTTCATTTGTTGCAGGAGAGGCTATTGCAAGGATCATTCCCCACCATCCTCGAATCATCACTTTGCAGGACA